TAACTCTTTTAGTTTTGGTATAAAGCCAAAACTTCAATAACAATTTAGAGTAGGTCTGCACAATGAAGAAACGTCTTGATTAGATCCAGTACGGAGCTGGTTGCGCCACATACCTTCTGCTAATACGAACGTAAAAGCGTGTATTATTACTTCCCATATAATTGCCAACCAATTACGCACTTAGCTGTAGTGTACATCGCACGATTAATGATAAAAAATTGCACTATATACACGTAAATAATAAATTATTTGTGAGTGATTTTTGACTTTTACGGGTTAATAAATCTTGATAGAATTTTATTATACATTTTAGAATGCTTCCATTTATTAATTTATCTACTTTACAAAGCATGTGTCATTTAGTGTACGGCATGCATTTAGTTGTTTTAAAACGAGAATGGTGAGTCAGGTACCATATTTGCTCATTTATGACTTTTTATTTAGTGGAAATAAGATACCTACAATAACATATAACATCACGCCTTTTGTCCTCGAAGGGGTAGGCAGAGGTGCACATTATGCCATTGTACAACGAACACCCACTTTTCTCTTTTTATGTTATGAGTCCCATGTAATAGGAGGTGAGCCTATTGCCATATACCGGGCACAATTCCAGACTCCGTGCTACTACTAAGAATTTTTAAAAAACACAATAATACTTTGAACCCGAGACACCTTCCCCGGCAGACAACTCGGCCAACGAGGCAGTCTACCTACAATAGAATTTATACAAAATAAAACATTATAGTAGCTAGCTCTACATTAAGATATTGCCTCTTGTCAACCCCGACCTAATTAGGTAAGGTTAAAAGGTAGATTTGCAAAACTATATAAGAGATTATGATAATTTGACCAGGATAAATCATGTCTTGCTTGCCGTTAAAATCACATTACATACATTGTAACTTGGATATTTAAATCTTGCAAGCATAAAGTCATTAACTCCGTTACAGACTGGAATTTTTATTTTCAAACATGAGCCAAGTTAGTAAATTAATTTGAGTATCTCAGGTGTAACTTTACGCAACGCGCAGATACAAAATGGCGATAACCTAAAAATCCATCCGCATATTAATATACGCAACTCGTTTATTATCATATCAACTAGAGTAGAAGTTTTAATTTAGTACTTGTTTTTCATAGTACCTGTAACTTTTTGACTGAATCCCTGAAGCTGTATTTTAAGTCCCGCTTAAGTGCAGTTCTGTGACTACAAACTCTTTGTAAAATGACACAGATGGCATGATATTTAAGTACAATTTAAAATAGAGTAGCCTTTTAATATTCGGGCGTAACCGACGGATATTTCTACTTTGATGTCCCAAAATTACATCTATAATTGAGTAGATGACGAATTTTTTCGTTCGGTAGATTATTTAAAAACATTTGACACGTATTTTTTTTTTTACGGCAACGAATAGTTTCGACGATATATTGATTTGAAATGTCGCGTGACGTCACTTCTATGAACATTTTATACGTAGAAATGATGTTTTAGCCCCCACTCCTAAACTTTGATTTGTTATATCTAAGTATCATTTTATTATAGAACAAAATAAAAAATACGTGTCTAATATTTCTCATTACTTAAGTGACGGACTAATTATATTTTTAATTTTCATACCCTGTCATCATACCTATTATACATATTCAGTTTGAAAATTTTGAAATAACTTTGAGATGTGATTATAACAATTTGCTATAGATCTTTTTTTATATTATCAGACATTGCTTATCTACCTCCCTATCCCTAGCTCGATCAACGTTATCAGTCAAAAATGTTTGTTTTCGTTATTCATACTTTCTTTGCACATATAAAGTATCGTTTATGCAATAACCGTCTTTTCGTAACAACTATCTGAGTTGCTGCTGCAAAATAAGTGTTGCTTTATGCACACATCTGAAATCTAATTAACTGATAATATTAATGTAGTACTGGAGTATGTATTGCAACATAAATAGGCTTAGTTTCAAAAAATCGAGTACATCCTTTCTAGTATTATAAATCGGAAAGTGTGTCTGTTTGTTTGTTTGTTTGTTCCGCTTTCACGCCGAACTACTAAACCGATTGCTTGCAGACGTAAAGTTAGAAGTCTGGATTAAATAATAGGGTACTTTTTATCCCGGATAAATTTGATATTCCCGAGGGAAAACTAAGGTATTGGTATAGATGGCGCTGTATTTATTGGTATATGTCACTTAGGCTACTTTTTATCCTTTTGTGACGTGAGCGAAGCCGCGGGTAAAGCTAGTGTAATATAATTAACATAATACAGTAGTTAATGACCACAGGGCGTCGTATTCCAGCGGGCAATAATTGTACAAATGGTAACAATTACACAACAATACGCGAAACTCTGTACATTAACAATGCGTTGTAAATGGCGTGTCGTGTCGCCACTCAGTTTCCCTTTCACAGTAAACCACCGCTATATTTTGGGTTCCGTGCGCTCATGTATAATTTTATGTTAATCGTTTCGTGTTATTAATTTCACTTGTTATTGTTATTAACTAGGAAATATGCATGGTTATTAAAAATTGTATTTTTTACAATGTATGTTACTAGTATTTTTGCAGAAAAACATTAGTTGTGAATAACAAAGCAAAATAGTGTATAATGGAATGTGTTTAGAAACTTCAGACCTTTACCTAAAATGTTAATAATTGTTACATAACACTAATTATCATGTCGCTCATTATCGTAAAGTGTACGGAACACGATGCGCGTAACAGACGTCTGAATTTCATTACTTATACGTTGTACACGTATTGTTGGTTTTTCATATTTTTCCTTCGCGAAAGTCGAAAGCGGAATATTAATTTGGACGGACAATGACGTTGTTGTCGTTATTAAAATAACTGTGAGCACGAGATGTGCGCTCATTATGATAATATTAATGGCATTTCTTCAATGTTGCGTGGCACGTATCGTTACGGCTGCACTGATGCAGCTATTAGGCTTAAGAGGGTTGAATTGTTTGTTTTTGTTAACGTGTGTTACATCTTAAGTGTTTAGACGGTGGTGTGTTTTATCGCGATGTTTGCCACGACGGTGTCGGTGTCAACATACAATCTTAACATAATCGGTTAAAAAGGGTCTATTTTGGGAGTCATCAAATGACTTCTTCCGTCTTGGATAAGGCGAAAGGGTAAGTCAGACTTACTGACTAAAATTATTTCGGTCCTTCTCCTCCCTGTAGCCGAAGACCCGGTAACCCGCTAGGTCGACCGCACTCCCTCCCGTTCGGATAGGCCTGAAGCTAACTCTTTATTAACTTGTTGTTTGTGCTTGATTCCATTAATCTTTCATATACTTTATACTTTAAGTAGTGGTGGTCCGGAGGTTTAAGACGCCCGCTTTTCATGAGGGTGCGGGATCGAAACCTACCAACGGCAAGTGCCAGTGTGACTTTTTCCGAGTTATATGTACTTTCTAAGATTATCTTGAGGCCACTGACAAACGGTGAAGCTTCATAATTTCATTATAAGTTTGAAATCACCAACCCGCATTGAGCAAGCGCGGTAATTAATGCTCAAACCTTCTCCGTGTGAGAAGACGCCTTTAATCAGCAGTGGGCACTTATAACCTGTTGATGATACTTTAAAGTTTAGCTGAGATGGCAACAAAGGTTATTATCTATTTGTGGTAAAAGCACGGCACTTAATGTCATCAAACTTAATAGTCCACTGTCTATGTCTTTGTTTCACGCTAAGCGATATCTAATGTGAAATATCATACTCGCGCATCGAATAGCACAATCGCCTCTGCTACTTTATGGCCATTGTAGGTACCGTGTCCGACTAGTGAACAATAGGATACGTTCCTAGTAGTCAAATTCTTGTTGTTCTTGTATTTCGAAAGTTAACAACGATAGTATCTATGAATTTTGTATGACACCGTGGGATGTCTCACGTCACGTAAATTAGAAAAATATGAGAATAAAGTAAATCATTGATGTTATTATAGCTGATGTAAAATGGGATTTTCAATAGCAAATATTGAAAAAAGTGGATCTCACCTTCAACATATAGAACTTTACAAATGATGTATCGATACATATCCGGAAGTGATAATGTTCTGACTAATTTTTTAATGGCGAAACGTGCATCTGAATGCCTTGAAGGTAAGCAATCAGCATCGCGCATTGCATTGTTGGATATTACACTATGACAATATGATGTGATGACACTAGGCGGTGAGTCATCCTCACAACCCAGCCATCGCGAAGGACACACCGGGCGTCGGGGATCGCGGGACGATCTCCGGCCACCGTAAGCGCGGGCCTGCGGGCGGCGAGCATGGGTGGCTCCCCGTCCGACCAGAAACAGACCCGAGCGTACGGCGCGTCGCGTTCCGCGCGCGCCTCAAAGAGCCATCAGACCACCACAGATGGGGCCCAATACGGCCGATGCCGATTCGGAGTCGCGGAGAACCTAACGGGTAACCGGGGCTCCGACTCGACGTGCAGGAGTAGGAACGGGGTGGTTTTTAGTCAGTAAGAGTCTGACTCTCCCTCCCGCCTCACCCAGGCAGGAGCAGTCATTCGATGATTTTCCCCCTTAAAAAAACCCGTGCCCCCCATCCCGTGTCTGGTGGCCGGAGATCATAGTTACAGAGTCCTGGCTGCAGCATTATCTGATAAATTTTATCCTTTTAAACTGAGATCTCCAGCCCTCCTGCCAAGCGTGACATGACTACCAACTGTAGACAAATGCCATTTAGCACTTGTCTACATGTAGAATAGACAACCAAATTATAATTAGAATTGACGCAAGTTGTGACACATGTCAGTGTCATCCACATACATTTAGTTTTCTACTCTCTCTGTAGACAAGCGCTAAAGTGGCGTTTGGCTAAAGGCACAGGCGAGATACTGGTCAAACGTCGACCCATCAAATATAAAAAAAAAGATGGAAAGGGAAACTGACCTATGTTGAGGTCTAGTCTAGCCTAGCTCTATGTTAATAATTATTTATAAGCATTCCTTATATAGACTGACCTGCAACTCATCATCGACGGCGGAGTCGAAGGTCTCCCGGAGTCGTGCCTCGCCCCGTACGTCCGCCTTGGCAGTGAGCTGCTTCTCTCGTAGTGACGTGCGGCGCACCGACCGGACCCTGCTGAGAATACTGTGTTTTACCGAACTTGTCCACCATAAGGGATTCACTGTTCTATGTAGTGTGTAAAGGTTAAGTTATGAAGGATGGATGAATAAAAATTCATTTTATATTTTCTTAATGTTAAGTTTTTTTTTTTTTTGGATATTGGTAGGTTGCATTTAACTACACGTGTGTTTAGATTTGCTTTTTTGTTTTTATATATTTGTTTTGTTTTGTGCATTTTATTTTGTGTTTTTGGGGAAAATTGTTTTATGTTTATCGTTGTCTGATTGGTGACTTGTTCGTCCGCGAGTCACTTCGTCGTCGGGGCCAGTAGAATACCAGCGCAAGGCCCTGTCTTGCACATGCTGAACTGGTCCCATTTCACCGCAGACTTGGAACCTGTGCTTGGGACATTAGTAGATATATTTTGTAAACTCATTACTTATTAAACTTATGTGTAAAATCTATATGTGTCACCTGTTTTTTAGCGTGTGAAATAAAGTCTTTCTTTCTTTCTTTCTTTAATGGTATAGGAGCTAGCAACGTTTTCGAGAAAGAATTTTAGGTCAGCTGATTTTGTGTCGAATGATGATGATGATGATGATGTCTGATTTTGTGTTGAATGTCTGGCAAATTTATTTTAAGTTTTTTTTATCTTTAAATAACATAATATTAAAATTACAGACATTATAAAATACTTTGAAATTTTAATAAAAAGAAACAAAAAATCGCGTCTGGCACATAGTTAGCATTGTCAAAAATGTCTGGCAATAAAAAAAGTATTTCAGGTAGACTTATTTAAAAACAAAAAAATAAAAATTACGCCTTCTAAAATGTTTTTAAAATCCAGGATTATTACCTGGACAGGTAGGATGCGCACTAAAGAACGCAACCGCTACCGCCAGCCAGATAGCCCAGACTCTAACCGAAAGTGCAAGAAGGACGACATATCACAAAATCAGCTGACCTAAAATTCTTACTTTCCAAACGTTGCTAGCTCCCGTACTATAATGTCTGCCTCGTTAGTTGAGTAATCCCAAGTGCGGCTTGATTGGGAAAATTTCTCAGTAACATAAAGATGTCTCAGTACCATTGAGTTCAAAATCTGCTAGCTACCTGATATATGAGAACAAGACTCGTACCATAACTAAAAAAAATTCCCCTTTTGGTGTTAAAACGCATAACACCATCATTATTCAAATATGAGTGGGGGTAGAGCATTTATTATGGTTAGTAGGCACTGTGTGAATGACTACTACGAACGAGGTTAGTGTGACTTCGCTCGTAAATCCTTACTAATATTATAAATGGGAAAGTGAGTTTGTTTGTTTGTTTGTTCCGCTTTCACGCCGTAACAAGTAAACCGATTGCTTTGAATTTTTGCAGACGTAAAGTTAGAAGTCTGGATTAAATAATGGGGTACTTTTTATCCCAGAAAAATTTGATAATCTCGAGAGAAAACGAAATTATTGGTATAGATGACGCTGTGTGTATTGGTATATGTCACATAGGCTACTTTTTATCCTTTTGTGACGCGAGCGGAGCCGCGGGTAAAAGCTAGTGTTTTATAATCTCCAAAATTGTGTGGTGATAAACAATGGTGATAGTAGTACCGGCTAGTGCTGGCGCTGGACGAGGACCGGCGCGCTGTACGCAGTCGGTCGGCGGCCGCGTGACGTCGCAGCTCTTCCTGGTCGGCCGCCAGACGCAATATACGCGCACGTAGCTCACCCTCCTCGCAGATATCTAGTAATCAAATAAATATTAAATAACACAGTTACTTATAAGATAAGCAGTTTCAAGCTTTGGGCTTCTCAAAGCAGTAAGGATCATTTGTAAGTTCTGATTTACAGATTTATAATTTTCTTTCGGGATTTCAGATTATGACTCTTTTTTCACACGATAATGTAGAATCAACCAAACGCAGCTATCGTCAAAAAAATAACTAAAGTAAAGAACTCTGCTAACTTGAAATGTTTTGAGTTAACACAAGGGTATCTCTTTTTTAAATAAGTTCAAATTAAAAGTTTAAAGTAACCCAATAATATTGAAATATAAAAAGGTCTCAAGCATAGACTAATAAATAATAAAGTTACCTGCTGGCGTTTCATCGTGTTTATTTCTCACATTGAGATCAGCTCCATATTGTACTAACAGTTCTAGAACCTCCAACTGCAACAAAACAAACAAACATATAATTTATCTCTATCATAACATTATGAGTCAACAAACAGAGCGTCTACATCGAGTTTGTTTTACGTCAACGCAATCTAAACGTTACCGCGGTTTATCCATCTGATTGGTCGATTAACTTGGAGGTGACCAATCACAGTGCCGAACGTCATAAACGTGTCGGTTGCGTATACGTACAACAAGCTCGCACTAGGCACTGATTATCTAATACTTAGAAATTGCTCGAGATAATGTTTAGGGAAAATACTTAGGTTCTATGTAAATAGTAGCAAACCTTGGTTTGTTATTGAAAATAATTTCTACTTGTAACTACATAATTATGTTGAATCTGCATTTACATTTTCCTCTTATAACCTGTTTTTCCGGTTTGAACGTAAAAACAAACAAACAAAAAATATTAGTGTAAAAATATTCTTAAGACGCTAGTAGCAACTGGTTATAGCTTCTCTTCCGAAATTGGTTAAGGAAATGTCTAAGTAATTTTTGTTGTAAATACTTGAAAATAATATTTATCATTAATTATTATGTTTTTCGGCTTACTATGTAATTATTTGACGATGTGTAGTTGCAGCGCGACAGTCGTAGCAGCGCGACAGTCGCCGCGTCACTGGTCGCGGAATGCTGCTCATGAATATAAGCCTCTAGCATGGTTTGAAACTAATCGAGTTTCTCGTCAAATAATTACGCGAGTAACTCGAAAAACATCACCATTACTGTAGTATGTCTCACTTAAGTTATAATATAAATATTTGTCATTAGTGTAGTCTACACAACAACACAATATTTATTGTAGAACTACCTTTACGTATAGAGGCAGACAAATCTGGCTTAAATATAACTATGTATAGGTAGTATGTCAGAAGTTGACTAATCCAATAATCCATTTATTGGATTACATCGAGTAACAATAACCTTTGCTTGTCACTTGTTAATCTACAAGTAAGCATAAATAAATCTTTATGCTTATTGACTGCTGAAAGTGATACTACACTACGACCTTACAGGAAACCGGCGTGAAACAATGCTTGCATCATAAGCCAGTCGTTCAGAGAACTTAGTACGAGTTTGTTTTACGGTAAACGTTACAGCGTTCGGCGCTCTAATTGGTTGGTTCATAGGAGGAGGCCTATCAGAACGCCAAACACGAATCTTATGAGATAAGTCGGTAAACGAGCGGACAGGTCATCTGATGGTAAACAATCGGCAACGCATATGGATACCTGGACCACCAGAGGCGTTACAAGTGCGTTACCAGCCTTTTAGGGATTAGAAATTTGAGGTTTGTTGGCGATTCAGGGAATGGGGGAAACGCAAGCGTAGTTTCACGTCGGTTTTGTGTCAGGCCGTGGTATCATTCCGGTCGACCCGGCCTATTCTTCCAAACAGCCCTCTGCTACTTTGCCATGCTATTCCATAAAAAGAAATAGGTACTGCAAGAGGATTATCCGATATTCAGACGAATAAAATCTTGTTTTCATATCATAACTTATTATGAAGACCTTTACGTACATGTCCCCAGCAGGCGGCGGCGTGTACCGGTTGCCACATGTCGTGGTCGACGACGTCCGTGGACGCGCGGTGCTCCAGCAGGTACTCCACCACCTTGATGTAACCGTTCGCTGACGCTATGTGTAACTGAAATAATTAAAGACAATTATTAGTTTTATGTTTTACTTCTACAATTTGAAAGAGTTTAAAGCTCTATTTATAAAACAATAAGTCTTTTTTTACACCATGAGAGAGCGGAAAAAGCTGTATATCATACAGTTATACAGTTAAGTCAGCATGTTCCGGGTCAGGATGTTGATGACGCCAAAGGGATATGTAAGAATCCTAGCAATTGGCGTTCCATAGTCTCTGCCTAGCCCCAATGGAGATAGGCGTGACATTATGTATGTGTGTTCAGAGTCCCATTTAACAGAAGGTTGCCCTAATTTCATATGCTGCAAAACCAATTAAGTTACTTTTTACTGTCGTCCGGATTAGGATTCGCTGAGCACGCTAAATACAAAAACAATGGAAAACACAATTACAAATGTCAACACTGTTACAAAAAGTGTTTGTGTCCAGATTTAGCAAAACCTTGAGATATAATTGTAGGGCGACACAAAAGATCGTTGTAATTACTATTTAAACACACACGGCATGATATTTCACTTCTCACTTTAATACGTTAATGTTAAGAGCACGTCGGGTCGTTGGCTGGAGCCGCGTGTAATCAAAATGTCACATTCAACACTACAACCAAACAACACACATGTGGTGATTGACCTTAGAATCCTACAAAAATATATTTACTCACTAAATATAGAATGAAAATGAGTGATACTTACAAGTGTGGCACCCTGATTATCCCTTGGCTCATCCAAATCCATCCCTGCCTTCACTAGTTCATCGACATCCCTCAACATTTTCATTTCGGTAGAAGCTCGTGTGTCGTCTATTAACCTTTGAGTAACACCTCTAGCTGCCATTTCGCTTTCTATCGCGTCTAGTGTCCGTTCTTCTTCGCATATGTCGTAGGGCATGTTCCCGTCGCCGTTGACTGCGAGGAGGTTGGCTCCCCGTTGTATGAGGATCCGGACGAGGTTGAGGTTCCCGCAGGTGGCGGCGGCGTGTAGCGGCGTCCACTTCTCGCTGTCCTCGGCGTTGACGTTGGCGCCATGGTCGAGCAGTAGCCGCATCATGGCCTCGTTGTTGTCGATGCAGCACTGGTGCAGCGCCGTCAGGCCATCCTCGTTCGTCGCGTCCGGCGTCACGCCTCGAGACAGTAAACGCCGCACTGGAATTTAAGAACATAACCTGTAGTAAGTATATCTTGGTGTAGCATAAAGGGAGAAGGAGTCATGTTATGTCCTAAAAGTGCAGGCAGGAAACATTATGTTTTTATTACCTTCCACATTTCGTCAATTATGTTATTAGTACCCATTTCCATCACAATAACGAATAACTTTTTTACTTGTCCAATACAAATATAAACTGAACGGATTATGAATGACTGATATTTAAGATCCCATCAATGGTAGAGTCCGCGGTATGCAGTCATACTAACGATCAATATAATAAAGAGTTCAGTAAGTAAAGTACATTATTTTAAAGTCTAAACAAGTTTCTTATTTTGTTAGAGACTTTGAAAAAGGTTTGTATTCTGCTTGCATAAGTTGTTCACTAATAGCTTTATTGTGAAGGTAATTACATACGTAGCATCAATAATTATGATGACATACACACGTGACGTCACATTGCGATTCAAGAACTTGGAAGTACGCAATCTGTGAGAACTTGTAATATGAGAACGAATACATAGTAATATAGGGAAACAAGTGAAATTACAATATGAAAGGTATTAGACACAATAAGTAAATGCGGCACAAGTCATTAGGCTTCCCTAATAATCTCATTATGATATACTGTGTGTAATCGACCGAGTAATAACGAACATAGTGTCGCTTTTATTGACTTATTTATGAAACTACTCGACTGTCACCTGACCAATCAACAACAGCTGTTTATTATTATACAGCAAGTCAAGATATTATAGTTCTAGACATAAACTTGTTGTATTGTTTCTATTACAGAGTGACATATGGCTGTATCTCTGATGTAATTAATTAAAGAGTACACAAAAGGAATTAAGAAATAAAACATAATAAAGTGACTAGGTACATACTGTTTTTCTCTTTTGTCTTTTAATAATGTTATAAAAGCAAGGAAATTATACAAATAAATAGCACAAGGACACGACATCCACAGAGACTTGAAACCATTACTAAAATAGGTACTATAATTTAATAACTTTAGCATAAGTCCTACCTTAGCTGACCTTTAAAAAGTTTTCATTCAATGAATTATCAGAACGATGTCGTAATCAGCACAGGTGCAGACCTTGTGCGATTCAAAACATTGCATTACTCAGCTTGAACCCGGCAAGTTCCTTGCAATAAATTACCGTTGGTAACAACATAATTGCTTGTCACTTGTTAAGTGTTCAAAATGTTTAAACGCTGTAAAATGAAGTGTGGGAGCTCTGTGATAACAGAAGATTTATATGACGGATGTACGTCAGTGGAAATGCCGCGGATGTTGCCTACTTTCTTGTCTGTGTTGGGATTTTATGTATAACTTAACACACACACTACATTTAACTTGACAGGGAAAGAGAATATGTTAAAGTCAGGATAAAGAAGACGAATGATTGAGAGTTCATGTAGTAATAGTCAACTTTTCTTTCGGTATAATTCATCGCTGTTTATTTATGAGATCAGGCGCCCATCCGTCTGACCGATTTCATACTCAATTAGGTCATACGTCCCTTAATGAGCTAGCTACTCAAGTATCAAATTGACCTACACTACACTAAGGGTGATAATCGAGTAATTTTTTCCCAAAGGTATAATTCAATGCTAAGACTGTTACAATATGCTACAATATGTAGAGTAGCTAAGAATTTGGTCTCGAGCCAAAATGTAGATGATTTCATCAAGATCAATACTCTAACGGGCGTCTTTAGACTTGATTGATGAAGACATTCGTAAATGTCAAAGGAATGCAGTATTTCAGATATTGTAATACTCGCAGTGGAGCTAAGTATGTCTGTAAATTTTTAAACTAGATAATTCAAGTTACATCACTGCAAAACTTGGCATAAGTAACGTAGGAAAGAAGAAAAAGGACGATTTGTATATACTTAGATAGGTAGCTATAGTTTACGAGATGTAATTGCTACCTATATACTGTTAAATACGACTCGTTGTAGTAAACATGATCATTGTAAACTAGTTGCTAATATTACCTTCGTCTATATCGTTTCTGGCGGCAGCTTCCAGCAACATCACGCTATCACTAAAGTATATACTCCGCTTGTTGCTCTTCTCCCGTTTCGCTCGTGATCGCAACCATTCTTTCTCTCGTTGCTGCCATAGTTTTAGCTGCTGCATTCGTCGTCTGAAATAGGATATAGATCGTTTAAAGAATATCTTGTAAGAGTAAACCCTCGAACCGGATTCAAAGACCTTAATTCATAGCAAAGGGTCAGTAAAGACATAATGCAGTGAAAGATACAAAACATTTGTTTAGCAACTTATGTTTTTATGGAATTCTTTTAAAACTAGGCATGCGGGTAGCGTCGTAGGTAACTAATTAACAATTCTCTAATCCCTATAATCCGCAGATAGTGCCACCGCACACAGTACCTAAATGTTCAGTATGTTTACCTTTCGAAGTCCGCAGTAGTAAATACAAAACATCTCTTAGAATATATCCTTATAAAGTAAGATGTGTGTCTAATTTTAACATTTATTAGAGACACAACTTATTATCACTCAATAAATATGAATTTGTAAAGTGGTTCATTGTCGTGTTTTGTTCATAAATACGTTGAACGATGGCCTCCAATGCCTCCGTAGTGTCGGACGGATCGCCCACTTGACGCAAAATTCAACAAGCGTATATGGATTTATTCTCGGTCAATTGTCATGTTTAGCAAAATAAATTGGTGTGAAATGAATACATGTGTCGTCTCTTAGCTACTATAACAGCAGTATATTAATTAACAAGCCGTCACATTGATAAATATATCGTAGAAGAACTATTAAAGGAATGCCTTGGTATTTTCCACGTGCAGGGTAAGGTTCCTTATTGAAGCAGTGTAAAAAAACTTGTTAGACGGTCTAACATAAAACATAGATTGTATGGACAGGAAATGTTAACTGTAAAGGATAAATACAAGGGTAAACGTATGTCGAACGTCGGTATGTACTGAATGGGTAATGAAGCTGTACAATGTCTTGTTTATTAGGCATAGGAATCTTCTACATTGTATTTACTTCAAACGGAGTGACAGCAGTAATTCTTTTAGATATCTTACTTTCTGTTAGGTTGAGTGAATCTTGACACGGCCTGTATTTCAAAATGATAACGATGCAATGTACGAAACACCTCGCTACCCACACGAGCGCCCAGATACCGGGGCTTATTTTCGTAATCCATTTCATATGGGTACGTCACGGCTTACAGCTATTCCCACATGGGTTCAAATTTAACAGTAAACTGTCATGCAATCATAAAAAGTGAAAACAAGGTTTCACTTTATATTTATTATAAATTTCATAATATTGTTCAGAATTGGCAATGGAATACTTCCTCAGTTTTATTCCATTTACCATGGCAAGTAAGAACGTTAACGTTATCTTGGCCTGTTTCAGTTTATTGCCCGTTAAAATTGACTAACAATGGTCCTAGTACTTCGGACATTTACTGCAATTCTCCGCTGAATGACGGAGCTTTGCGATAAAAATAAGAACAAAGAAGAAAAACCATACATCACTGTCAGTTTATGATACTCCATAAAAATAGCAATAAAATCTTTTTGAAAACAGTCTTCTTTTATTTTTAAACTACCGTGCGTGTATAATCGGAAGTTTTACCCGAGCACGTTTGTTTCTGATAGCTGTTATCACACGTGAGCTAACTTCGTTAATCTGTCTGACGTCGGAGGCAGGTAAAGGATTAGGTACCTATACATATAGATACACCTACAGCGAAGTACACAAAGCAGTGTACTTGTGATATATATCTCATGTTGACACAAATCCATACACGGCGTCTATCAAGTGTAACCTGTTAAAGATTGTGTACACATTTAACAATACCATGTACATATTGTATTGTATATTGTGTTATAGAACATAGATATTGTCAAATAGAATCGCTTTCAATATCTGTTAAAGGGGACAATAAATCTTACTTATATTATAAACTAGCGACCTGCCCCGGCTACGCACAGGTGCAATTAGAAACTTCTAAATTTATTAGTGTTTCTCTACTATATTATACACTAGCGACCCGCCCCGGCTTCGCACGGGTGCAATATGCATGTATTATACATACAAACCTTCCTTAAGAATCACTCTATCTACTAAAAAAAACCGCATCAAAATCCGTTGCGTAGTTTTAAAGATCTAAGCATACATACGGACATACAGCGAAAGCGACTTTGTTTTATACTATGTATTGATAAACCTTCCTGAAGAATCACTATATATCTACTAAAAAATATCGCATCAAAATCCGTTGCGTAGTTTTAAAGGTCTAAGCATACATAGGGACAAACAGACGGCGGATAGCGACTTTGTTTTATACTATGTAGTGATAGTAATGCGAAATTTGTATTTGTTTGTTACTGAGTGTGTTACTTTGTTGTGAATTATCACATCAATACGGCTAAAGGGATCGATATGTGGAACAGGGGTAGTTTATGTTCTGGAATAACACAGGCTACTGTTTATCCCACGGCAAAGCCCGCGAAGGGATTATAAGGAAATATTAAAATAGTAAATAAAGTGACTGCCTCGTTGGCCCGAGTGGTCGCAAGTGCGACTGCCGGGCAAGATGTCTCGGGTTCGAATCTCGGGTCGGGCAAAGTATTACTGGGTTTTAAATATTCTCAGTAGTGGCACGGAGTCTGGAATTGTGCCCGGTATATGGCAATAGGCTCACCCCCTATTACATGGGACTCATAACATAAATAGTGAAAAGTGGGTGTTACATTGTACAGTTGCATAATGTACACCTTCACAGATAAAAGGCGTGATGTTGTTATGTTTTGTTATAATAGTTCCTAAATATAAGTAAAAAGATATTGTTATTATTCATATTATGTCTATATTATTTTTGAATATAAAACCATCAAGACGATGACTAAGTAGTCTAAGTACTCGCAATGGAAAGTCAAGAAACTGGAGAGTTAATTTTAATGCGAACTTTCCAATATTTGTAGGCGTACTGTTCTTAAACTCAACTTAATTTCACTTCATGTCGAATCATTACGGTAATTACCTAAATGTTTCGGTTTAACTGCCAGTGTTTTATTAAATAACCACCTAATTGTTTTAAAACACGGCTTAATGGAAATACGTTTCCAACAAAATGAATGACATAAGTTGGTACATTTTTCGTCGTCAGCAACTTTTCCACAAATAAGATTTGCGCAACGCGCGATAGAAACGGTGGACCTATTTTGCGAAAAATGGCACTCAACTATAATAGTGTTTTAAGGCTTCGGGATTGGGTTAGACAGGCTACTTACTGTTAATGTAGTTACCTATGGAAAATAAAGGACTCTCAGTGGAGTTCAACTTAATACTAATTTTTAAGGGCATAGCTTTATTTGCTCGTGTGCGAAATTAAACCAAAAGTCCGTGACCCTTTAAAAAAAAATACTAGTCTTATTTTTATCAACATTAAGCAAGGGCTTAATCACGCTTTCTAATCACTCATCGATCCGTTTGTCTCATTATATCGTCTGATATTGTTCTTAAAACCATAATGTTCAAAAGTATGCGGTTATGCAAGCAAAAAGGGAAAGTCGGCATCCGGATGGATACAAAACAACACTCAGAATCATATCATTATCTGAAGTCTTACTCTCAAAATAATACAAGTCGGACAACGTGAATTCACAACTATCAGCTCTGTTCGATACATACATCAACCTTTATCTAAAACTGGCATCTTCCACGATAAAAATATTAGATATTTCTATCAACACTTTACAATTTTATCCACAAGTAACATGGAATAATAATGTCAATGCTACTTATTTACCTAATCATGCTTATCAAGATTACAATTAGTCACGAATTCATTCAAATTACGATTTATCAAATAGCTTGCTTGGGTGTAATTTAAACTTTAACAGGAAAAAAGTATCTCGTTCTCCTTTCTTATGTCAACAGACGGCCTCGTTGCTTTTGTGGAAGGTGAAACATACTTGCACGCCTTTTATTCCCCGAAAAGGTAAGCAGAGGTGAACACATTATTAATGCCTTTGCGCTAATAGATAGGTCTTTGTAATTGTGATAGGGAGCAAATCTATAGCCATATACTGAACACATATCTAGACTGTGCTAGGTGCCTATTATGTAGGTACAAAGAATTTTCGTAAAACCGAAAACCCAATAATATCGTTCTCGTTAGTCGCACTGGCGACGAGGCAGTAACAAGCCCAACAAAATATTATAGATCGATTTCTGATTAGTAAGGGATTTGTGCACATTACCGCGAGAAGTTATCGTACTATCCATGACTGCAAACCTCTTTCGAGAAAGGAATAAAACATACCGTTATGTACTATGTCTAAGATAACATAAAACTGTCTTTCAAAGCCCCACACTGAATGCTATGAACACAAGGAATGCTTTCCACTACATTAATCCTACTTTCATAGCAATTTTACAACAAGCACTTAGCAGTAATTCTCAAATAAACATTGCTTTGTGGACAGTTAGATAGCCAACAATATCATCACATCACATACATCCTCGTAATTCATAACTTGTTATGTTTAATCATGTTTAATTTATAATTAAATTAAACCAAATGTTGGTATAGTAGTTGGTATCAACAACAAAAGCCTTCAAAATAAACTTCTCATAAGAACGCAGGTCTACTCAAGACTAAATATATTTTTATTGTCTTTTTTTATACTATAAGGGTTCATGAACATTCTCTTCCGGCCAAACCTTTGGGTGATGCAACAAAATGATGGCAAGAAGTGTCTTGTATAGCAATAATATAGTGGTTAAACATCTAGCCAATATTAATAGTGCAAAACTGTGGTAACTACAAAATATTATTTGTTACATCATTTGTAACTTGAATTGGTAGTTTTGTTATTCTTAATTGTTTTTGTTATTAGGGATGGAAGTTTTATTTTTATTAGTTAGTATCATTGTGATACATTGTTTATGCAGGTCATAAATGGATTTCAAATTAGTATGTTCACTGGAACTACTACTTAATATGATATAATAAAGATATATCTTTATAACAGCAATAGAATTACTATGTATGATACTTAAAAAGGAAGGAATCTTAGTATTATCACGAGGATTTTCCTCAAACAATATTGTATAGCAGTAAAAACCAAAAGAGCAAAGAGTAAACATTACTCAACAAATCCTTATTTATGCAGATCCACTTGTTGATAATGTCAAAGATCAATTAAGTTACTATGAAGCAGAAGCCTTAATAGTTAAGAATTAATTAAATCCTTTGCACACATTTACATAGAAGTTAATATTGGTGTAGAACATGTGCAAGACGAAATTGAATAAAGAAAATGGAATGGAATTTCTTCTGATCAAGGACATACTGAAACTGGTTTGACAGGTTTTTTTCATAATAACCATGATTTGACTCAAATTTGTTAAAAATAAATATGTTGAAAATTTACCTTCGTGCTAGGTGGAGCCTCTCCTGTGTGGTGAGGTGTTCCACCTGGGCCATCTCGGCCACCAAATCCGAATGCTCCATTTTATATACAATCTGAAAATTTCCACACTTCTTTATACTCCGTTAAGCTTAACTTAAAAAAACTATCAAGTAATGAGATAAACTATATTATGGTTATAATCTATTGTAACAGTTACCAATCTCATTTTTTTAACCATTAAGTATAGATAGGTTTTATGTTTAGAATATCTTCATTTGTCATAAAGAATCACATTCATAATTCACATACATAGTGTTTGTAAATATAAAAAAACAAAATAAACTTTCACTATTGAAAAATGTGGGCAAAGTGATAAATTAACATATAGAACAGAATCAAGTAACACGGGCAGATCAGTAAACTATAACAAAAAAAAAAAGCAAATGTGGGTAAACCAATAAATGAATCAATCACTACAATACATGAACTATTTTTACTAGATGTGGCATTGATAGCATATGTTTATACTTAATGTACCTAAATGTTTTATTTTATTATTGTACACGGTATTCATTTAAACTACCTATTTAGAATTTGCCTTTTACATTATACAAGTAAACACTATGGATATTTAAATTATATTTATAAGTATTCATGATTTTGTAGTTATTAATTCTCATGTTAATTTTATTTAATTTTTTGAACAGCACATAACTTTTTCTTGTGTTTATGTATAGATAGTATTGTGGTATAACTACATTAGAGTGTTACAAAGTACAAATATGCCTTAGGAATATTAGCTTTAAAGCGTAAATTCACTTGGATAGTGATATCCTAATATTGTACAATTTTAAATGTTTAAAGAATGTTATATAAAGGTAAATAAATATTCAAGTAAAATACACAAAGTGATTGAAACATTTAGTTATTGGTGAAGAAAACAAATTAATTAGAAACATGCCTACCACAAAATGTATAATAACTTATCAGAGCCCATCATAGGTATCATGCAGTACTTACTTATTGATTACAAATTAAATCTGCATGACACAAAGAATTTATCCTGTGTTTATCATCTTTATCACCATGTCTTAATTGGCATTGAAACTTTTTGATTCTAAGTCCTTGTTGTGACTGTTTTGTTTGTAAATAAAACATTTAAAGACCTCAGTCACTGTCACTTGATTAAATCTACTACAAAATGCACAAGTGTATCTCAGAATTTGTAAATGTTTTCCGAATAAGAATAGCTATACCTAGCGTCAAACTTATTGATATCTGACTTAACTCTGATAAGATAACTGCCCACTGCCCTACAAGCATTTCAAACCAATATATTGAGAAATAGGAAATCTTCACCTAAATGCCCAGTCAACATTCAGTTTTTGTTATAATATCGACTCAAATTAATTTTATAATCTGTCTTGCGACTAGATCAAATAATTCAGTTTTAAAAACAAACTGACAGTTTAGAAAGGCACTTGGTTTCTACAACCTAAATCAACTTTGCAGGTCACCATGATATCATAACAACTTTGGAGCGAGAAACTATACATTACACATATTTATTCTAAAATATTTTTCACGCTACTTACCGCTGTTCTAGTTTACTACAAAACGTAAGTATGTTTCATTCTCTTATTGATGTATTTGCCACACATGATAAACAGATTGAAGTAAAGGGAGTTATTAACACATATACATATCGATACTTGGAACTAATTGAAATCCATTTTATGAGAGAATTTTACTGTTACATTCTATTTTCCGTTAGTTTTCATGAAAATAAGAAACAAGGAGAAAAATCACAAGACGGACAGCGAACGAGCGGATACGTTGTTTTTTTAGTGACTTGAAAACCTTGACTCGGATACTTGGCTTTTAGCCTCGAATTAATTTCACAACGCCAAATGACAAAATTATTCATAACGCATAAAAATTAAAATAGGTAATGAAAATTGTTTCATATTTTCAATACAAAAAGAAATACTTTATTTGTACTATGTTGCTGGATAATATTTTAAAATAAGTTTATGAAGTAGCTAAATAAGCCATGTTCTGAAACTAAAAAAAATGGAGTAATTGACATAAGTTTTAAGCGGGAAATTTTAATACTGAAATTGTTTTTATTATCGTGTACCTGTGTTCATTTTATTTACTTAGGTACTTTTTGTGTTTTCCAGTGGGTTTCATCGTAATGGTATGTGACTTTATTGTTCCTAAGAATAACAATCAAAGCCTGTCAGTTAAAATTAATGGCTTATGACACAAGACAAATATTTAAGCAAGGAGTAAATAAAGTCAACAAATAGGAACACCACTTTATTTTAAGGATAAAAAAGGTACGTTTATGAGTTATGAAACAGTTAAATGGTATTTGTAATGTTTAATATTCTTAACTTAGGTAGGTACACTATTCCAACATTTTGTCTGTGTAAAAAGCCTGTAACAAAACACTTATTCAGCATTATCAGAGTCAAGAGATAGACATTTCCACAGCCTTATCAGGTTTACTACCTACCTATGTCAAATTGGAGCTTTTTAAATGTTGCTTTAATATTTTCTCGACAATGACGACCACGATATTTTTATCACTTGCTACTACTAATCTACTCATTTGACCTAAAGTTCAATATGGGTGGTGTTGTGTTGATCGCTTACCATCAGGGCAGATTATGTGCTTACTTACTCATTTCCGCTTACTATATCCCATAAAAAGGTTCCTGGTTTTTTTAGTTTAGATCAACAACTTAGTCAGTTCAGTCAGATGGTAAAAAAATTGACATCTTGTAATTGACCTGGTAAAATGAAACATAGGGTAACTCTCAAATGTGATTTTTATTTCAGTTTTTATATTATCTATTGTACTGCACTGTACTCTCTGTACTACTAAGTATAATACAGTTTTAACAATAATTTTAGTACAAAACAAAACCACAATATTATCAATCAATGAGCGGTGTAGATATACTACGCTAGGCACTATTAATTTATCAATTGACACACCATAATCCCATTTATACAAAGCTTGCTTATAGTAGAGTACCTAGACATGTTTTATTTAACAATTTATTCAATAATTAAGTGGGTAGGTAAAGTACAGACATTAGAACATTGAACAGTGCGTAAAAGATTTTCAACTTTATTCCAAACCAATTAAGGCTTGCTCTTTGGGATCAGTGGGGTTCTTTTTGTCAAACTGGGTTTCTTATAAACCCTATCAAAAATTAAAATCACAATGAAGACCTTGAATACTTATGTACTCCGTAAAACATTCACCATCCAGAATTATTAATTTAATTTTGTCCCTCCTCCAGGCAAACTATAAATTAGGCAAGTTGAAAATGTATGACAAGTTGGTCAGATTTCGGTTTCGGTAGAATGTGCTAGTGTCTGTACCTTCAAGATAATTCATATTATGTAGTTAACAGTACTCACATGTTCTTATTTATTTAACAGGACTTGATGACTAATCAGGTTTATAGGTAATTATCAGCCAAGTTGTCCAAGTAACAGGCTCAATGTGCTAGAGGTTTTAGTGACAGAGAGAACATCAAGGTGGTACCTATGTAAAACATAGGTAAGAATTGTGGTATATAGGGTACCTATAAGAATAAGAGATGTGAGTATCTGTATTTAAAATTGGCTAAACACAAATTAAATAACCAATATTACAAACCAAAAAAAAACTAAAATATATTGAATTAAATAGGTAAGTAAGTTTAACGGGAACATTACAAAATAGGTGTTACAAACAAAAGTAACTTGACAATATTTTTGGTATTAGATAAAAATACTGTAAACCAAACACCAACTCATTTTTTGGCCAAAACCAATATTGACGTATATAATATAACAAATGTGAGTATTTCATTTTCATTCAGAACATAATATTACTGTAGCATAATAATTTAACTACCTAATACAATATTATAGCAATAACATTTTTCTAAATTAACAGCAATCGATGGACGCACTAGTTGGTGCTATGAAATTCAAACAATAATGATTTAAAAAGTTATAATTCCAATCACTTAATTGGTAAGTTAATGTACCAAATTATTAATAACAAAATTAATTAATCAATATGTTTTCGTGCTTGATCACGTAACTGTTTGACGAAGAACTCGACTAGTTTCAAGCCATGCTGGAGGCTCATGAATATGAGCAGCATTCATGGCTTGAAATTAGTCGAGTTTCTCGTGAAACAGTTCCGTCAGTAAACTGACAACATAATAATTAATTAAGTACCTAAGTATGTCTCACGAAAGTTTTAATAGGTATAGGTAAAGAAAATTCATGTCATATGTAATTGCTATGGGCAGGTATAATATACCCAGCAAGCTCTTGGAATTACGAATTACCTATTTGATTGATTATATTATTCATTAGAAGAAATAGCACTGAAATAATACGAAGTAGGCACGTAATGAGTTATTTGTACGAGTAGGTATACTTCTTACAACGACAATTCATAATATTAAGTAGTTTTGGGATAAAAGTCTAAGTTAGGACAATAGTTCTAGTGATCAATGAATTGCACATAAAAATCTTCGATGGACCACCTGACAATATTTTTGGTGAAATTCTCCAAATCATCAACAATCGATAGGTCAATGAACGCTAGTCCAAGTTAATTGTACAGGGGTCAAAATAGAGAGGTCTGAAATTGAGTTAGTAGGCTATCTTCAATTGTCACTTGTCTTTTTTTAATTATTTATGGAGTAGTACATAAGGTCATTTGCCATTTAATTTATATTAAAATTTTGAATATCATCCCATTATCTTGTTATTTTTCAATAAAATTTTTAACAAACATTATTTTTTATTATTTACATTCGTTATTATGATACACTTTCTATATTACTACATCTATTATTGTTCTAAATTAGTCTATTCTTCATAAACAAAGTTATATAAGTAGGTAGGTACAAACCTCCCAACTTCTAATAATCTAATAACAATGTCAACATTTTTGCGCAGATGGTTCTGTAGATACAATATCTTTTATACAGTTTGACTAAAATGACGTCGTATTGCCAATGACATCATTAAATACAATAAACGATACTATAGGCATGCATCAGTGAATCACCGAAATAATAAATCGATACATAGTTTTTAAAAAATGCTGTTAAGTTTTCTGTTTTCTACCCTGTTCTTGTTTCCAACGTGACATAGCCATAAACTCATTATTTATCGATAGATAGATACAACATCTGAAAATAATATCTTCACTAATGATTTAAAATTAGATTGTTGGAACTATATCTAAAAGCTCCCTACTTTTATTAAAATCTGATCGATAGACTTGATGGCATCGTCATGATTGTTATTTTATTTGAAAGCGTTATGTAACGAATCTATAATTTAACTATCTACTTTGGTATATGACCGGAACAAGCTTACACGGAATATTATTTCATTTAACTATCTAATTTTCCAGGGAACCTACGGCATTATTACGTTGGGATATAAAAATAACTCGTGTACCTATTGGTTATCTTTCACGGTAGCTTCTCTACATCTAATTCAAAATGGCCTCCAAAACACATAAGTTATAATATCTATTACTTAACAAACACAATTATCTACATCTACAAATCACATTTCAATTAAACTTACTTTCATGACTCCCATAAACTACTGGTAGGTATTGTCATTGGCAACAAGTGCCATGAAATCATTAATATCGTTTCATAAATATAATTAGGTATTGTAATACGATTTACATTACACACAGTGTTGGATGTAATTACATGATATTTTACAAAGAGCATACAAAAATACACTTCAAACAACTATAAAAATTGGTTTCGATCATTCAAGTAGTTAAAGCAATATTATAATTCTTGATTACCAGCTACATTTCCGTTACTCGTACCTACATTAAAAGAGCTTTAGAATTGATGCTATATTAATTAGATATAAACAAAAAAGATAAGACTGATATTAGATAGGAAAGTTTGTTTTTTTAAACGCTTACGCCTACCAGTCGTTGCATGATGCATTTCATCGCAACGTGTCGTATTTACACCTTACAATGTATTATGTATAATTACGGCTACCTAAATAACTCGAAAGCCTCAGACAAATCTGGCAAGCATCTTTACATTTACAAAGATTTGTATCCTAAAGTATCCGCACGATATTTATCTTGCTTTATGTGTGCGTATCATGATTATTGACAATGTTGACGCATCTTATTTAAGTGTCTTATCATTATAAGTAGGTGGTAGATGGTAGAACGGTAACAATAGTCAAAACCTCAATACTATGTTTATCTATCACATTGAACCAATTTGATGAAAGCCTTTAAAGTCTTTGGCAAAGTCATCTAGTAAATGTATTTCGCGTAATGTTATAATAGATTTCAATAAATTTCGTTACAGGTGATTAATTAACACTTTTTTTAAATTCTATATTCATTTTACTTATTTAATACACCACAGATTCACAGCACTTTTTAAGAAGTTTGTGTGTTTTTAGACATTTATAATATCACTTTCCGCTTTAGAACGTTACTCTAGCGTCCTGTACTTCAACAGTGGCAACCTATCAGGGTCACCACGGCGGGGCACTCAGGTGTTCTCGTCTGAGGAGTCGTCAGACGAAGAGCTGGTGTTCAGCGTGGATGCCATTGTTAGCTGCCGGATAAATGGCTCTCTCGGTAGACTCTGTTGTCCGAGAGGTAGCCGTCTCACGCCCATTCGCTCACTTTCTGGCAGTGATTTGCTGCATTTTTCTTCTGTGATAGCATCACGAGATAATGACCTGAAATAAAAAAGAAAAATCGCAAATTAATCTTATTTGCAGTTTCACATCTTCGACATTCTTAAAAAATCATTTTTATCTAATCGTATACGGTTATTCATGGTCAACATATTGGTAAAGATTCGCGTTTCGTGCACAAAGTAGCAACCTTACTCTTTTCTTTTAAACCTTTTAAAATTATTCACTGAAACGTAATCCAATAATAGTGGACACTTCAAACATACCCAGTTAACTCTAACATTGATCCTCTTCTACATTGTCCTCTGTGTGGTCCCTGCATGATGCTGGCTGGTCTGCTTGACGCACCAAGGGGATCTGAATGCGCTACATCCTCCATCAATAATACTGACGGGCCTCCCAGGCTCGTGCTCCTCTTGGACAACAAACTTGGCCCTTGTCTGGCTCCCGTATCTTTTGATGTCCCCTCTCCCTTATTCCAACTATCTCTATTTGCTTCTGAGTCTGATAGAACCACACTCTCCGCTGCACCTTGTGTAGAACTAGAGCTCTCTCTTCGGAAGAGACCTATGATAGATTTTGGATGTTTTGGCTTCTCTATGCCTCCTGATATCGGGAAGGTTATGAGAATGGATGTGTTTACAGCGGAAAGGATAAGGGAAAAAGAAAAATAAATGTGTCAGAAAAAGTTTTGAAAATTTTCTAAATTCTAAGGTAGGTTATAGTGCAAAGTTTGATGAACTAATAACTTTATTCATTATTTACTTTATTTACTTAATGAGTAATGTTTTAAGAAAGCAATATTTGGTGTAATTGTTTATTAATTTGGTATATTAAACTAATTTATTGAGTAAATTGGTAATTTAATTGAGACTTCTAATTTTAAAATGGGTAGGCTCAATCTGCTATGGACATTTAGTGCTAATAAAACTATTTCGGTATAAGCAAACATGCACGGTGTTATGCAAATCTTTGATATTCTGTGGTTAAAACTAAAAGTTCTCAAAAACTAAATTATGAATATGTATTTCGCGATATATGTAAATTCTAAGGCGGGTCTGTGCATTTTATGTGAAAACTAATCTCATGAAAATGAATGGCATATTATTATAATAAGTACTAAGAGCGTAAAATTGGCAGTTTTATATAACTTACTTCAATACTTTCGATCAACCTATCGTATTGGTGATGAAAACCACAATTATTATGGTTCCATATCAACACTAAACAGCTAAAGTTAATTGTTGTTAACACTGTTATTGTAATTTACTATTATTATTAGTGACGTGTCGTTCTGTGTACTTTGATCAAATATTATTGGAACTTGCAGAGTGGTAAGTCCACGCGCTACATAATACGTAGACGATATTATTGCCTCTACGTGCTACGCCGCTACGAAACGGTCTATGAAAATTGCCCTACATTTTAGAACTTTTACAAAGCTTTCTATACTTTGGCCTGCATGAAGTTAACTTAATAATTATTATACTTTTGGCAACTCAGTTTTATTTTCAAATACATTATAAACTCACCTAAAAACGTAGCCGAAGGGGAGCTATACGCTAAGTACTCTTTGTTCGAGGCCCATGCAGGGAACTCTGATTGTTTTAGGGCCCCGCAGCCGGACCCCTCCATTTCCTCTCGTTTCCATGGCAGCATAGTCTCCGTTGCCGTTGGGGTGGCTACGCGAGCGTGCTCAGCTACTATCATGTAGGTGTCTGACATTATAAAGTACGAATTATTTTATCTCCGGGTAATTTCCTAGCTCGATTATTTGTTTAAACAGTACGATGGAGTTATAGATCACAGTTTAAATCTTACCATTATCATCGGACAGTCTTCTTTCGTCCTCTTCTAAAATATCCTCGTTAGGAACTAAAAGTATAAAATAAAAATGCTTTAAACATATTTCAGTTGGTAAAAATGTATTGTAGCATCGGCATTTCATGTGTAAGTAAAATGAAATAATTTGTATGAATTATTAAGGAACACTAATTATATTACAAAAATATTTGAAAAACTTACAAGCACTCTTATAAATAGATACATATCAATTCGTACATAATATATTATTACATTCTTATTGCTACATATACCTAATTATTTCAATGCAACATTGTGTTTTATGCCTGAAATACCATCTTACTTGTATTAATAGGATACAGATAGACAGATACATATAATAATCATGCAATAGTCACTAAATACATAGATACACTCATTACATAACTAGTGCAAAGTTTGACTACGATAGCAACCAACATAATAATAAAACATAACAGGATATCGTGGCACCCAGTCCCATACAAAATGCATAAACATTTGATATTATTTTATTGGTTACTATGTTAGATATTATAGCGTTAGTACGAAAAAAAAGGAATTAATAATAGTATGTGTTTATGGCATGCAATAGTAACATTGAATCGGATGACCAATAACTTTCCGAAGCGTCTGATGAAAAAAATATTTTCTTAGTTAAGTAACTAGGAATAATATAAGCAAATTATGTTTAACTTTAAACCAAACAAAAATCATAAGTGGCTGAAAAGGTTACTAAAAATTTGAATACGAAATGATTACTAATAAACGTTAGTGCCCAGTGCTACCCAATGTCCTACGTAATTGACGCTAAATGTCTCTACAAAGTCGTAACAGCCTTCGCCTACCTTGAGCGTGTATTTTACTTAATCATGATTGCAGTAATCGTAGCACAGACACATCAAAGCATAATCTAAATCAAAATCTTGATCATCAGACGCAAGTATGCACGCAGTTATCTAGTGACAATTATTAAAACAGTTCAGTTTTGAAGTAAACACATACCAAAGTTATACGTGGATCTGTCCCTTCTCCACGGTAAGGATTTCTCAACAGCTGTCGGGAGGATCTCTTCGGGTGTTTTAGCGTACTGCTTAACAATCCTCGCTTTCAAGGGATTGAATCCGGGCAGGTTAGCCAGTTGATTTAAAAGTGAACTACTATTTTCTTTATGCGAGGACGTCGGACTGACTTCTTTGTATCCAGCTGATAATATTATCATCGCCAGTTGTCGAGAGTTTTGGTTAGTTTGCGGTGCCACATGAAGATTGCCAGAAGGGAAGAAAACGGCGATCAAACACAAACGATATTAAACAAGCAGAGATGAACAGATAGGTTAGGTTCGTAGCGATTAGAAGATTAGTAGGTTTACCTATACGATTATGAAATGGTATTCGGGGCTCAGGACAGAAGTAGAAAAAATAAACTTTGCTTTAACCAACTACATTAGCAAACCGTTACCTACAGTTGGCGTTGAACACAAACAAAAACATTTCTATTAAATTTTTCTCAATATAATTTAAAAATCATGATTTCATATGAAAGAAAAACCTGTTTTAAACTTTATTTTGCCTTATAATATTAACACTAAATGACGTTTTGTGCGCCCCGTAATTTTCAGAGGATCATTGCGTGATAATTAGAATATTAGATAGAGGTTTGCGAATTAGTTGGTTGTTAAAAGTCAAATCTTCACTTGAAATAGGCAACAGAATCAAAACAACTCAATGAAAGTAACTTTGAGAAGAGATAATTCAGAAAATACAAATAAGTACATACAGAATAATTATTAAGAACATGCCACCACAATTAATACGTTTCAGCACATTCTCACAGTACGTAGCCATGTCAGAAAATTAAGGAATGCTTTTGGACCCAGCAAATAATATTCGTATACCAATTCAGTAAACACCAGTTCACTTAATATAAGTATTCCATTTTGGTTAATGAAGAAAAGGTAGTGCGGAAAATAAAAACAACGTTAGTCGACAACATCTATAGGAGTTGTTTGGATTTGAATACACAGCTTTCTTGGAATACATTTAGATACTGTTCGTACTGGATTGGATTCACCACCTAGATACTCGTTTTTGTCAAATCGACTTTGTTTATACAAACTGTTTGAATTAATATGGAGCCAATTGAAAAAGCCAATAGAGGCTAGATTAATATTGAGAGATTTAACTCGTCGAGTACCGGTTTTGTAGACACAATTATAGAACAATAGGTTGCGGTCACCGGTGACCGCTTGGTGTTCGACAGTTTAAAATTTCATATTTAAGTTTTGCATCGTAAATTAAACTGTTTTATAGTTCAGTGAGTGTTCTTAAATCCATCTAATTCCTTGCTGTACTGAGTGCTTACATAATGCAATTACCTATACACATACCTATATTTTACGTCTAGCTAATACTACACTTACTTCATGTTGTTGCTCTATCTACACAGTGCTTCTGATCCAGTAGACGGTACAATTAAGGTTAGCATTAGCATTGTTACCATTCAAATCCAAACTGCGGTGTTTTACACAGGGTGTCATGCAGAATACCTACGCGGGGATTTGGCAGTGAATGTAATACCGCCGTCGTCACCTTCGCGACGTTGTCCCACCTCGCGCTCGTCTCCCTCTTCTTGAAGTACCTCGTCTATATAGTCTGTAAACAGCGCCCAAATCATTGGCATATTTCTAACAACAACATTTCATAAACAAGCCAACAAAAATTTTTACGTGATCTTTTTAATTACTGCATTAAATTGCTGTTATTAAATTCGATAGCCTCTATTTTTAAATGTAAAGTTTAAGTCCTCTTGCAATTAACAAATGTATGATAACTATCACATTGTACAGACAACACAAAACAAAAAAATAAACGTGTGCTATGTCCTAATGCACTAGACTTTTTACAGAATTGCGTTTTATGTCTCTTTAACATTAACTTCCATTAAACTAGTGTAAGACAAAGCGTTTGTGCTTGCAAAGTAAATGTAATAATGATTGATACATATATGTATGTATGTATTTGGAAATAAACAAAAAAATTAAAATAATACTTGAACCCACACGTGCATGCGATCGACACTCGTGATAATAATAAAGAATAAATAAGTACCTAATCTATAATACTTTATTTTACCGTGCGTGAACTGTTTAGCCGAACCGTTTTGCTGGAATTCAGGGAAAGTCACATGATTTTTTCCATCCTGAAACAGATAATGGAAAATGATTGGAATCTTTTTTCTCGTTTTTGCTATCTTTTTTGGAGTATTTGGTTTCCTAAGTGTCATTTCTAAACAGTGTTTTTTATTGATCCCTTACCTGCTTTCCACGTTTACTACGTTTGTGATGATGTTTCCTATCACCAACCCGTCGCCGTATATTCATATGGGTCTTGTAATTGACTTGCGTGCCGAGGTCGCGATCGTTTACCGCATGACGACTGTAGCTCAGGCGACGATGCTGAAGAAAAAAAACATTATCCATTTGGTAAAACTTTTTTGTCTTCAACTTATGTTATCTACAAATTTTCTTCCAAAACTTTCATAACCCGAAAATAGTACTTACTCAAAGAAATTCGTAACTAACATTTAATACCTACCCACTGGTGTCATTGTTCTTAAATACAACGGACACCGAACTATTCTTAATATGGCTTCGTTTTATTAAGTCTATTGTAATCCTTTCCTACTTACTTACCCACGTATCTACGTAAATTACCAAGAATGAACTACAAAGTTTTCCCTTGATTCTTTTCAAAGTTACATCACGACAATAAAAAACGTAGATAAATATAAGTGCTTCTACATTTTACGTAAAATCTTGACTGGTGATAGATACCTTTTAAATATGTATCATAGCCTGTAGGTGTGCTACCTACAAACTTCAGCAAGTGACTATATAATTTTCTAAACAAGGCTGTGCCATTTACCCATGACCCAGAAAATCTCGTGGACTAGGATAAATACCAAATAAGATACATACATTGAAACTATGACATTTTCCCCGTATGTCAGGTCCCGACCGACCACCAACCACGACCCAAATAATAAAATTATGTAATAGTAGTCTGTCATGTGATAAACATACGCGTCTAAATGGCTTGCAAAGTTCTTCGGCAAGAAGGTGATGTATCTTGGCGTCAGTCAGGTCTTTTTTCGACGGATTGTATTCCAGTTCCTGCATATCTATGTTCCACGTTGACGAATCCAATTGACTGAAGCTCGGACTGAAAAGAAAGAAATCGTATTTAAACAGTGTATTCAATAAATGGGTAGGTAATCTACAAAGATTGTCAAATTACCTTCCATTAAAGTTGGCATTTGTATAGTTTTTGAATATAGCTGACATTGATTCGGCTCCAGATATATTTCCTATGGTAGATGCATTTCTCTGCATGTATTCTATGGCATCTTTCATTGCCAACTTTGAGTAAGTTTCTAAAATCTTAGGTTCTGCACCCTGTAAGGCAACAAGATAAGTCGTAAATTATATCAAGTACAGTTAAAGGTGGAAAGGGGTGTCATTTTCCTACTGTTTAATTGATGTGGTTTCACAAAATCATAAATAATATACAAGTGATGTTCGTACGTACCTGATAATTTCTAAGTAAGAACGGCCTTATAAAACGATTATCAAATCTTTTGAACTTGTCCCTCATATGGTGGTTGCCATGTTTTCCAAGAATGTCTTCAATACCAGCCATTAGATGGTCCATGAACTGAAAATTTAATTTCCATTAGCACTATAACCACGGACTACCTAAATAATTTTTTGTTATGAGCGGCGTCACGGCATTGAAAGATGCTAATAAAAGAATTCTTACCCGTTCATGAATTCGTTCGTTCATTGTAGGCTTTCTCTTCTCTGCAGTTTTAACATTAAGTATTTTAACTAGAGGCTTAATGGTGATGCCTTGTATGAACACGGTGAAATATATCACTGCTATAGTTGTAGTCACAAACATTGGTTGTAGTTCTACAACCTCAGGATCTATTAGTAGAACTAGAGCGAAAGCTACTGCTCCTCGAAGACCTGAAAACGTAAAAGGGAACCCTTGCATTATTCTCTATAGTACCTTCTTCGTTATAAATTAATCTTATAGTGATTTGTTTTAGTGTGAAAGGTGTTTAAGATTCCTCTCCTTTGAAACGTCTTAATTCTCTCATTATAATATTCTTCAACAAATATTCTATTGCGCAAATTTTCATCTACGTACCAAAATATTCAATGAGAAAAATCAATATTTGTAAATTATTCTAAGCAAGTTCACTATCAAAATATTCGACAAGCAAGCAAAGCTGGAGATTCTTGCCCTTTAAATAGCGTGGGAGCTAAGAGTTCATTATTCCTAACGGTGACTAGCGGCTAGACTGAATAGATACATCTATATAAACCACCTCAAACCTCTGCAGCTAGCTTTGCTTGGCTTGCGTAGTCAGCCCTACTCGACTCTACAAATACCAGGATTAACTAATTTTAGTAATTAGAGTCAGTATTTCTTATTGAAACTCACCTCCGTAAGACATAACGAACTTTTCCACTCTATTCAATTTATGCAAACGGAACTTGTTAGCTATGGCACTAAATATGTACACACCTGAAAAAAAAACATCATCAGTAAAAATAAACATAATAACTACTTATACAAAAACACTCAAAAATCCCAAAAAATAAACGAGGCAAATCTTATAATCACTTCGTAACAAGTGAAGGTTTGGGGGTGACACGTGCAGATGAAGCCCTAAAGTTTGACTGGCATTTTCCGGTCACAAGTTCACACGTGACCCACATTGTTTTCCTTCTCATTGTTTCTGTTAATGCCTATATTTTCTCTCTCAATGCTTTTTAAGTTCATGGTCGTAAGTGTGGTCTTGTATTCATAAAAGTAGATGTTGACAAATAATATGAAAACATATTGTTCAAATATAACTTACCTATTATTCGAAATATTGAGCAGAATACGATGGTTAATAAAACAAACCACGTGTTCCAATCGTGGTTATTATTTACAGTAGCTACACCTAGGAACATGAAAATGATTGTTTCGGAAGACGAAGACAGCATTTTCATAGTGTATTTTATAGTGGTATGCGATTTGTGAGATATGTTCGCTTCGACATAGTTTTTCATTGTTATACCACAAAATGTTATGCTGAAAACATAAAAAGATTTACATAAGTTTGCTAATGCTGAATTGCTCATGGATTAAAGAAATAGTATTTCATATTATTTTCGCTTACGCAAGTATTCCGCTCATGTGGAACATCTCAGCATTTAGATACGCCAAGTAAGCCATGACAAATATAAAGATTGGCTCGATTACTCTGACTTCGTGTGTGAAACGGGTGACAAGACCTGTGGCGAAGCCCCAAACGACTCCAATGCACGTGCCGCCAACAGCCACAACAAGGAATGATGCGAGGCCAGCTAGAAAGTCTGTGTATTCAAGACGCGATGGTCCCATTTCTCTGGTAGACACAAATATTTTAATTTTAAAACAAAGGTAAATGTTGTGGGCATTGTAATGTTAAGTAGGTATATTAGTTGCTACTTACGTATACGCTTCAAACATATGATACAAAACAACTGTAACAGCATCATTTAATAACGATTCGCCAAATACTACTATGTACAGTACTTCATCTACATGGATTTCTTCAAAAACGGCTAGCACCGCTACTGGGTCCACTGCAGATATTAGGGCAGCGAATAAGAGCATGTCTAAAAGAGGGGTGGTGCACCCAAACATTCCGGTCTGACCACAAGCCCAGAGGGACGCCCCTGTTGACAAGGCAATGCATGGTATAAGATTCCCTAGAACACAATGTATTACGAAACATTTTCTTTTATTACATCCACAATTTGACAACTTACCAATAGTCAGGGTGTTGAACACAGTCCCGACCACCGCAAATAAGAGAATTGTTCCAAGGTGATCAAAAAACAATCTATTTGGCATAAAGTAGCCGGCGTCTAGGATGATAGGTGGCAGCATGTATAAAAAGAAAGTATCTGGCGTCAATGGCTGCACATGTACACTATGCGTACTTAATAGCAGAGCCCCTATGAGGACCCCCACAAATATTAGAAGACAAGACTCGGGAAACATTTTGGACAATTTCGGCGCCATGTGAAATCCTGAAACAAATATTTGTCGTTTTAGTGAATTACATACATACATACATGACCTCATGCCTGTCACCCATGGGGGTAAGAAAAGACTATGGAACACCAATTACGACGATTCCTAGATACCTCTTTCGCTTCATCAACAGTCATCAGTCTTATCATGCATGGTCCTCGGTTAAGGGTACTTTTTAATTTGGCCTTTCTTCAATACGATGCCAATATGTTCGTGTATGGCGCTTTCTACCGACGGCCCCATTCATTTCCATCCTTTGTACTTCTACTCTTTTTTATCCATCCATTCTATATGTCCAAACTATCGTAACATTTTATTAAATTCTCACTTGATCAAAAAACATATCGTCTGCATATTACCTACTAATACCGGCGATTGAATCCGGAGGCAAGAGAGTGAGATCGTAAGGCTAGAACCAACTACTATGGGATGTATAAAGTTTTGTGATTGCTTGCAATATCAGGACATCTTTTCTTTATATTTGAAAAGCGTGACCATTTTTAAGGGAATATAAGAATTACATAAACAGAAAGGAATAACAGATTAAAGTATAGTTTCATAGATATTCATCTAATATATTAATGTATACCTTGTGTTTTGTGGAAACAGGGTCGGTTTAATTTCACGATAAAAAAGTTACGAATATAAAACAATAAATTACATCTTTTTGGTTGCCGTCAAAGTGTCAATAAAGAAGTGACATTATAAATGAAAAATGCTAAAAACATATAAAAATGTAATTATTTCAGTGATGGATAATAAAACGAAGAACTAAAAATATTTCATAAATTTCATCCACCCATTTGGTTTTGTAAAATTAATATACAAGTAAGCAAATAAAATCGGAATATGTCACCTGATTCAAAGGCGAACAGGCTACTTCATACCAAATCTTATCCTAGTGTTTACGATATATTTGGCGATACGTCGTATACTAATTTGATTCACAACATGGGCATCACCAAACCGAGAGGTAATTCAGTGTTTCAAGCTGCAGGCGGGAAGTCATTGGGTTGCGATTACCTAATGTCCAAAAGTACAAATTACGTAACTAGTGAACAATACAACAGACTCATTCAAGAGAGCACCTGCAAAAATATGGCGCCTTCTACAAGTACTATATTTTATGATTTGGATGAAATTGCTAAAAGGCACTCATTTCATTGCCTTACTGAACTTAGTATATCAAATTCCAATTTAATAAAAATGACACGCATGGCACCATCTCCCATCGCATTAGGAGAAAAATCCGAATCGGTTAGTCAAGAATATGCAACTCAAATGCACACAATACCACGTGATAGTAAAGAATTGAATCCCAAGAGAGTAAAGAAAAAATCTTCACAGATTTCTTTTGAAATGGCATCGTTAAGAGAAGATGAAAAATTACACGATTTTAACAAATATTATAACAATAATAATTTGCCTGAGAGGCCTCAAAAATTTTGGTCTTTTGCAAAATATCGTACAGAATACACGAATCCTATACAAGAAGAAAAACGGTTGAGAAAGAAGGACAAAGGAAAACATACAGAGGACCCGTGTCCATGTCAATTGTTTTCTTATACATGTTCTTGTAATGATAAAAAATCTCTTTCCGAGCTAGTAAATGTCAGTAAGTCTTTAATAAATGTTATGGACCAGATTACAAGTACTAGTAAAATTGTAGAAGATAGCAAAGCTAACAAGTCAAAAAAGCTTAAACGAGAACTTGTAAGAGAAGATAAGCCGACTAACACTAGTATAGTACAAATGATTGAAGTCATTGTTCCTAATGAAAAGAAAGACTCGGCAATGAATGCTGCATGTAACAATGAAATACCTATTTTAAGTGATAAGAGTAACGATGAAAAACATGCGAAAGATAAAATCAAATCTCGAAAAATGTCTCGTAAGGTATTATGCCCAAATTGCAACGAAAAAGTTGATGTAGTAATCAGTATAAGTACTACAGAAGAAGAAGCAAGTCTAAAATACAAACATTCTTCAATATATCGCTGTAAAGAAATGCCATCAACCACAGCATATGCTTGCAGAGCTTCACCGAATGGTCCAACAATTAAGAATATAGATAATAGTGATTTATGCTTACACGAGCCTCCTTGTGAACTAGTGCCAGTCTGTCAAATACTACCAACCGATAATAATTTTTATAACGGAAATCATAAAAAACATTCTGTTCCTAAATCGACACCTCGTGTTATAAGAATAACGAAAGCTTGCAGGCATCATCCACCTTGTACTGTGGTTCCATCCTGCCAGAGAGCTAATGTTTTGAAAAATAATTGCGAATATATTCCTCCTTGTTTACATCGGCCTCGTTGCGTAAATTTGCCTTTATGCGTACCTTTTTCAAAAAGTTTACATTACGAAGAAACCACAAATAAAGGTGAAGACGACATAGATGTATCTGACTGTCCACATGTCCCTAAATGCAAATATATTCCAGTTTGTGAACACGACTCAATTACGAATACTATGAACCATCAAATTAACATTGTCTCTCGAGTAGCGAATGCATGCGAATTTTTGAATGATTACAATTCTCCTGGTTTTTTGCTAAATGCTAAATCACCATGTGAAACCAAAACATTTTCTCCTTGTCAAATAAATCCCAACCTATGCTTCACAACAGATCATTACACCTGCATATCTGATAAGTCATGCCAATTTGAAGCTTCACACAAACCCCATGAAGCGAAAGAAAATCAGAGTCAGGAAACCATTATATTTATAAGAGACGTTGGTTGCCAGTTCAGAAACAAAGATTATTCTCCCAAAGATTCTGCAGTGCATTCAAAAGGTTCAAGTAAATCATTTGATTTTCTTGACGTTAAAATGGGGAATTATTACACAAACATTCATACCATGAGATATGAAGATAAGCATACAAGTCCTTTATCTGGAGAGGATTACTCCTTCACAACAATCTCTAGTTCATTAGATCTTGAATCGGAATGTCCATCTCACGGCCGGCACCACGTGGGACCCAATTACCATCGTAGAACAGGGTTTGTACCCAAATCTGCTTATGTCACAGCATTCTCATCCGTCCCAGAAAGCCAATCATCTAAGTATGAAGCCGATAATAAGTTGGACGGAGTCAAATCTCGTAGAAATTTTTTAAAAGGCAAATATAGAAAAATGTTTTGTGTAAAACGGAGGAGGAAATCTAAAAGTGGTAATCATACTAATAATATACCTGTTATGGTTCAAAATGGTTAGTGTTTCAATTTTTGTGTTTCGTATGTTTTTTTATTCGTCTGTACCTAATATTGACAATAAAGATTTTTCTTATTGATTATTCACTAATAACTTGATCAAGTATTTTGTCTCTTGGTTATTTTGCCTATGATTACATTTAAGTTTGTTTGTGGCATGAGGAAAGGCAAGCACTGAATCTCGATGAGATTCAACGAATGTAGGTCAGCTCCACGTTGCACTGGAGGAAGCTGTACTGATTTTGCATAACTTGTTAATTTGCAAACGCCGCAAGTAACTTAACTCGCATGAAGATTTTGGAATAGAACCAAATCAATAATTTGTAAGTATGTAGGTAGCTATGCTATTAAGCAACATAGGAATAACAATTAGGTAACAGTAGGAACTTAGACAAATCTACTTATCTATATTTTCTAAATTATCTATAATATAGACAATTAAAGATCCTCACTTGTTTACGTAGGCAAGGTAGGTACCAAGCAAATACTCAATAAACAGCTAAATAAGTGCTGACATGTACCTACACTAAAGTCCAAGTTCAGTTATTGTACTATGTATATGGTAGACAAGACAAGACATATATCAATGTATGTAATTTAAGATTAACAAGAGGAAAATATATACCTAGTATAAGGGCAAAAGAAACATTGAAGTTTTAGGGTTTTGTAGGTATTATACCGCCCTTACTACCGTCATCATTTTCGTCATCATCACATCACACAACAAACAAACTTCTACACCATTTCCATGAAGGTTTGTATTTGGATTAATACATAGTACCGATTCAGATAGGTATCTAATCTACTTATTCTGCTCAATCGATACAACAACCCTAACCTAATTAATTGAGCTAATTTACTTATACTGTCCATATTCGTGCGCTATTTAATACTATTATTTCAGCAGTTCATCGCTATGAACAATATAGGTAATGTCCCATTAAAAAAAAATTGAAGTTATATATTTTGGCCATAAATAAAAATCGACTTGTAAGTTAGTCAAATGCATCGTCTTCAGCTACAAAAAATAAAGAAAACTCGAAATCTAAAAATCTAGGTACATACAATAGCCATAAATCTTTATAAATTTTTGAATTATACGGTAAATATAACTTACCTATTTTTGCTATGCTAGCGAAGAAAATCCATAATCCTATTAAGAAAGGCGTTTCAACCCGATGAAATTCAAAGGCTGCAATGACTAATTTCTTCACCTTCTTCTCTGGTGTTTCTGTACTTGGTAAATTAGTGGTAGTATCCTGGTGTTGGCGGAGTTGAGTGCCTGGTGGTTCTCCAGGCAACGGCGCCACGGGACCCATGGGCCCGAACCCCAGGCCGGGGTATGTGGAAATCCCATCGACTGTTATGGACGGACTTTGTTTCGTGGTGCTCTGAAAATAAAACAAAAATTAAAGTTGAATGTAAACCCATTGTGAAACGCCAAATATTGACATTTAAATTTAGATGAAGAGTTAAGTATAACACTAATTTGTCTAGGTAAGCCACTGCTTAGTTAGGCCACTCCCTAACTATTTCAGTTTTAGTCAAGGATGTCCGTTGCAGTCACATATACAGTGACAAAAGTGTCATATAAAATCCATATACAGTCTTATTAAACACTAGTTTGATAGATGCTAGATATGTATGAATAGACCTGTCAATTCCAGTGTGTTTCCAACGCCTACGAGCACCTATTTATAGAATAGCAAACTGGAACTAGCTGTTTTGCAAACTACCTACATGCCGATACTGTATGTGTATTCGTTGCACACGGTAAATAATAAAATCCTCTTAAAGTAAGGTTTTTTTCTCTTCTTTCCTGGAGAAAGAATGAGTATTAGGTATGCCTAAAAGAGAGTGCCGTGTCTTCAAGTCAAACTATATCTTCCTTATTTACCAAAATTTCGCATTCGTATTCCTTTCCTGAGGGATTCCATTTCATTCTTTCTTATAGTTCACTTACACCCAAAGCAAACATGGCGTCTTTTGTGCGTTCACGGTCCGAAAAATCCGGTGCCTTTATACAATCTCCCTACGATCTCCAGGTACCTAAATATTGTAGGTGGTACATTACCGTTCGTTAGACGTTTCAGCCTAAATTGAATAAGGTTTTGTAAAACCTTCGTAGCCATAGCCACTGTATACACCAGTACCTATACAATGGCTATATAGCCATCATCACAAAATTCAATATTGGTATATACCACACAACATTACAAAATTCAATATTGGTATATACCAATAGTTTTAATTGGTGTAGAAACGTAGATTCCTTAATGAAATTAAAAATGATTATTTCACTTACACTTCAATTCCCGTAAAAGTTTCCAGGTCAAACTATCTAGTGGTTGTAATCAAATGTGTTTATTTTTCAATTATTTGCTATCCTCCACGCTAGTTAATGGTAAGGATCATTGGTATGACCTTCAAATTCATTAACATTTCATCCAGTATTTTAGTGTTCACTTAACTTTAGAGAGATGTGGTCGAGGGTTCTTTCCAGTTAGTCATCTTGACCTTGGCCACAGACCGGCTTTGTCTTGCAACCTCGGCCTTCGCCGAATTGGTGAGGAGTGTTCTACTTATGGAAATGCTAACCGCTTTTATGTGCCAGCGTTTATCTTTAAAATAAAGACAATAATGTCTGTAGGAAATTATTATCTATCTCTAGGCTCTATAGTTATTTTTGTTACAAGCTTAATATTGCTTTACCTAGCCCTAGACAAATATTTCATTGGATTTTATACTGTTCATAAAATAGGTAACCGAAATATTACTTCGAATAATAATTCAATGAGTCTTAAACAACACATTCTAACCAGGATCCATTATGAATCGAATGACTAACTTAGATACCAGACTCGAGAGAAGACGCACGTCTACTTTTGTTTATCCACAAAAATAAAAGAAAGTTTGAAAAAAAAAACAACGAAAGAAAAACATAGGTAATCACCTCACTCATTGTCCTTACTTAAGTAAGTAGGTACATTATTTACTTGAAGAATTTTACCTTAAACCATTATTTATTAACTTTACTCTAGTCTCTATCCCATCTATTAAACGACAGCTCGGCTCATTTCATTACTCACGACCACGTTTAAAATGAGACCTATGTACTTAGAATAATTAGGCTTCCTAATTTCTTGCTCTGGGTTAGGTCATGAAGTTTGACGGGATTTCGCCGTTTTGGTTTGATGAATTAAATTGGTAATTTATTTAATTATTCCACGAAACGTAATAGTAACCTTCTGTAGGTACTTATTTACGTAAGTTGCATAACAATAAAAAAACATTTGTTTATTGACATAACATTTTTGTATGGCCCTGGACTCCGCACTAGGATTCTCTGAGTGAGTTCTTTTCAGTCAGCAAAACAACAATACAAAAGCAAAACAAGATGAAAAGAAAAAAATAATGTTGCAACTATATTACTATTTAAAACAGTTCTTATTCTTGCATGTAGATTTCACTTTATAAGTTATATTATGGTCGATATTTCAATGCTCAGTAAATTTTATCAGAGGCATAACATTGAACATTTGACAATTCTTCCATACTAAAACCTGTCAACTGTCAAATTTATTCTACAGTTAAGAATTAACTGATGATTGAAAAATCGGCCCTAAAACTAAGCTCATATGTACAAAAATAATGACTATACATACTACTTATTGGATGTCATATATAGATGTTGGGTATTATAGAGATCAAATTATATAAATATTTAAACCAAATAGCAAATAGAGGACAATAGGCTTAAATAAGTCATAATAATAATTGCAATTTATTTTGAACATTTAAATAACTGAACATACCTAATTATTATTACGTGTAGAAATTATCAATTCTCTACATTTCAGTCTCTTTAGAAATACATTGAAAACTACAAAAAAATTATAATTCGTTTAAGACAATAATACAAGAATCGTTGGAAGAGTCTAAGTTCTCCGTAGCAACAAAGATAAAATCAATTTTGTCATCAATTGAAAAAAAAATATTCCGTGCTATATTTAATACGAAAAAAACTATTAAGAGTCAGATAAGATACTTGTAATAATAACCTTGAAGACGCTTGATTGCTCAGAAACTGGTTTTAATATGAATAATTTATTGAAATTTATCCAAAACTGGCACAAGAAATGAATTGGAAAATCAAAATGTTGGTCGCCCGAACAGGGACTTGAACCCTGGACCCTTGGATTAAAAGTCCAATGCTCTACCGACTGAGCTATCCGGGCCGTACAGACTCTGACGAAATAACGGGTCATATAACAAGATAGCGTGGACGGTGGCTCGTAGCGTACAAATAAAGTATGAATCACCTTTGTTACCGACTTTGGCAAATATTAAATGTGATTGTGCAATATTATTAATTTTACTTATTTTACGTTTTCCAGTGATTCCAATAATTAAACTCATTCTGTGTTTTATTATAGATATTATGTGCCTTATTAGTTAAATATAAAAAACAAAAAATGAAGTATATTTTTTAGGAAAGGTTCTAATTGTGTGATCCACAAATTGTTTTTTCGGTCTGGGTGTCATTGTGTATGTGAACTTGTATGTTTGTAAACGCACCCACGACACAGGAGAAAATCCTAGTGTGGGGCAACGTTTTATTTAAAAAAAAAAAAATTTTGTTCATTTTCGTTATTTGAGATGTTCGGTTCGGTTAAACTAGCGCACATCACTAGTTCACTACAGTTTACTATTTTTCAGTAATATACTTAATATAGAATGTAAAATAGAATTACTCTCTCATTGAAGCCTTGTCCTGACAGTAACGAACACGACATATAATAATATCAGAACCGGTTCCTCCGTTTTCAAGTTTTACGCAACACCGCAAGGGTGATTTAAATGATTTATTTTTTCTATAGATTTCAAATAAATTCTTAGACCTTGCAATAATAAAGAAATATTAGAATATCCTCTATGAATATTATTCCTCAGAGAAATTTTGTTTGTTCTTCATCTGTACGCATATAAAATGGCTTAAAGGGACCTAAGTAGGTACCTAATCATGTAAAACCAGTTTTTTGAGATTAAAAGTATTATAACGAAGCGTAATTCTACCGTCACCATTTACGTTCTAACGAGGGTTTAATTAGATTGTACATATTTACGCATACTAAAATGATTATTATTTAATATTTAATAAAGTTTTGCTAATCCATCAAGGGACAATGTTTGAAACTTATTATATTTTTCAAAAGTTTCGGAAAATATAATTTTATTAAGTAAGTACTATAGTCTATTATCTAAGTACTTAATTATATTAATGCGTCATCATAAAATCTACGTAACAATCTGTGTTAGCACAATTGATTACCATCCCAATGAATTTTTAACAGTTAATCAAATATAACAAGATTTTCCAAATTGTCCAATGAATAAATTTAATGAAAGTTGATCAATGTTCCTTTGTTTCTGTTGACTTCTGTGGGTGATGGCAGTGACGATATTTGTGTAAAAAATATGCAAAGACATTTTAAAAGACATGGCTTTTTATAAGTAAAAAAAAGTTATCTCAATATTTTATGTTTCCTTTTACTCCGATTCTCCTCATATATCATATTACTTTTGTTATAAATTATAACAAAATGTATCGCCCGAACAGGGACTTGAACCCTGGACCCTTGGATTAAAAGTCCAATGCTCTACCGACTGAGCTATCCGGGCCATACGAAGTCTCACAAAACAACCCAACGCTACCCAAGCACTTGAACAAAGAAAGCAAAGAAGGTAGCTTCAATTGTTTTTTTTTATATACAAAGTAACGTTAGGCCCATTCTTCTTGTCTATGTTAACATGAATGGGTAACAAATCAATAAGTGAATGGCATTTGAAATATTGGCTCTGCCATCGGCCCTTTTTTTCATTTTGGCACTGTTCCCTGTCTCGTCCTAAGCTGTACTGTATTATGAATGGTTATTTCGACCTCACTTATATAGCCCGGATAGCTCAGTCGGTAGAGCATTGGACTTTTAATCCAAGGGTCCAGGGTTCAAGTCCCTGTTCGGGCGACTACCTTTTTGTTGTTAGTCATAAATAAGAAACGTTTTTATATTAAATTTTATTTTGTTCTTATTTTGCGTTAAAGCTAAGTTTTATAAAATGTTTTAATAAAGGCATGTCGGTTGCAGACGCTTTTAACTGGACTGCAGAGGAAATTATAATATTTTCAGTGTTAGCGCACTGGGACGATTAATTATGTAGTTGTTGACAGTTGAAACCGCAATGGATTTGCATTTATGACTTCACAAAACTTTATTTGTCTGTAATACTTACTCGAAACAATGATGTTTTTAGGTTTTTGAACTTTAAAAAAATACCTAGATAATAATAGAAGAATCTACGAAATGCAGCCATAGCCATTAGCCAATTTCAGTACTTCTCGTCTATAGAATTTACATTGCTTTAGACAGTAAACAAAATTATGGGGATTTCTAACCATAATCGATAAGTCACGAGGTTAGCAAATCGATTATAATAATTATCTATATTTGTTTCGTTCCTAAAACTTAAACGATTTTAGATATACTCAACATGACTACAAGTGCTGATTAACATTAAAAATGCTAAAAGTAATTATTTTAGAGTGAATTGATTAGTTGCCTTTCTTAGTGACATTTTAACAGATTGACTTAGACATCGCATCCTGTGCCATTACTCATTACATTAGTTACCTCCTAATGTCACTACGTACTTGAGATAAAATGATATTAGCTATAAAGCAATTAGATAATGAACAATTACCTATCTCAACGTATCACATAGAACTGTTCATTTAGTAATTACTAGGTCCGCACTATGGGTACTTTGACGATCTCCGGCCAACGTAAGCGCGGGCCTGCGGACGGCGAGCATGGGTGGCTCCCCGTCCGACCAGAAACAGACCCTAGCGAACGGCGCGTCGCGTTCCGCGCGCGCTTCCAGGAGCCATCAGACCACCACAGATGGAGCCCAACAGGGCCGATGCCGATTCGGAGTCGCGGAGAACCTAACGGGTAACCGGGGCTCCGGCTCGACGTGCAGGAGAAGGAACGGGGTGGTTTTTAGTCAGTAAGAGTCTGACACTCCCTCCCGCCTCACTCAGGCGGGAGCAGTGATTCGATGACTTTCCCCCTTTAAAAAAAATGGGTACTTTCAGTTGCTAGTACCTACATCTTATTTTGAATTCTCTTTTTTCTAATCTTCTATCTTATTACTAGACATTACAGTCTAAAATTTGTTAAAATGTTATCGTTAGTTACTACATAAAGACGTAGGCATATTTTAGGCAGATATTGTCCATTTCAGTCGGTCTTAATTTTACACGTTTAAAATGTTTTATCGTAGTATACGCTAATGTGTAGAGGATTTTGACATTGAAATGGGTTTGGCACTTGGCAGCCTCGATTTCGAAATTACTTTATTCTGTTTTTGATACCAAATTTGAATTCTGTAAGTACTGTACCTAATTTGAAAATGACCGGTCCAAAAATGCTTAACTTCCCTCAATAGCAATTTAAGAAATATTGGGGAAAATAAAATTACGTTTCTGAATTTCAATCACTACGTCTTTTGTTATCTACCTTTGAATTTAATATGTATGAATTTACTAAAAAATATTTTTCTGTGATTGTGTCTAATTAATTTATGTCTAAACCTTTGTTCAATGATAGAGATAATAAAACAATGTCACTTACTTCGACAGGATTGCATTGTATGTTGGACAGGAGGGCAGCGGCAAGCGCGCCCCACACGAGAGATCGCCTGCAGGCGCGTCGGCTCAAATTGACACCGTGCTTCAATGACGTCATAGTGGCAACACTATCACCTCACCAACATTGACGGCAATATATCACAACCACTGTCAACACTCAGTCACATCACAAACTGCACTGTTTAAAATCTCATTACTTTATAATCTCACAATTCGTAACGCCGCACCGATAGCCATAAATAATACTATTTTTACGCACTATTGTTATAGCAACGTTTTATTTTAGTTGAATTCCACAGTTAACTCTATATATTCAGAAATATCATCACAATTAACTGCGTTGGTGTTGGAGGACGTGGGTGTTCGTTTATCAGACTTTCAATTTAAATTTTAACACTGGTCATTTTAATTTGCTGGTTTATTGGCAATTTAAAAACGATGTAGTAGTTAACAAGGTGTCACATTATGAAATGTTTCGAGTGTGTATTAAAAATCAGTTACGGTAGTTAGAATGGTTCAAATTAAATAAAATATATATATACTTATAAGTTATGCATGTTGTAGAACTCAAGGATCACGTAAGTACTTGTACACTGTAAGTACATGTTTACGTTTATACCTGTCCTTATCGCCAGGCGTTATGCGAGGTAGTAGGTACCTACGCCTATTCATAAAGAATTAAGATTTGATTAACTAAACAAGCATTCACAAACCAAATGGTTACTTTGTATCAATTCTTCCCTAGCCATCATACCAAAAACAATTAGGATAAAATTGCATGAACACCTATATATACGTATACCTAAGTGTACCTACGTATATATATAACTATAATACATCAGTTTCTCTAAATAACTTGTAGTCGATAATTACATTTAAACACTTTGTAATTATGAAAGATTCGTTTCGCAAATAATGCACGTTCACATTATTATTAGCACAAAACGTGTTTAGAAAGTTATTGTTAATTAAAATAGACGGGTCATTAATCAATACAAATTAGCGTACTAATAATAACAGAGACAGAGAAATCTTTTCAGTCTCATCACGTTGAACCGCTGAAATTATATGAACAAAATTAATGTCGTTGCTAGTATAAAGAGAAAGTTAATTTTCATTTATATGAAAAATGAGTGTTCTTGATGGGTCACAGAGAATCATAATGTAATATGGCAATGGGCTGTGGGCGGGCGACGCCGACGCCAGACCGGCGCCGCTCCGCCCTTGCGCCAACTCCAAGGATGTTGACTGACTCCACAGGACTTGTACAAATGTCGTATTCATTAGCTTTACACGACCGTTCACTGTATTGGCATTGATCCCATGTCTAAAAGCTCGAGGACATTGGGCTATATTGTGCTAAATACATTATGTAGAACGGCCATGTGTTTTGGCGAAATGTATTGGTAATTCTTTCCGTTTGCTATGGTAATCTTGAAATGCAAATAGCATGACGCCATCATCGGCCCCGCCGTCATGGCATTGCCAAATTGCCTGCTAGAATTTAGCAATAAAATATATCGACATCACTAAGATTTGAATGGTGTGATGTCCATGTTCATCCTTGTTGTAATGTATCTACCTATCATTTACATTTAAGTCGTAGGTAAATACTTCGTCTTTTACAACACATAATTTAATACAATTTTGTGAGTTAAATGGCCGAAAACTTTATTAAGCCAAAATATTAACAGACTTTTCAGTTTTCTTCTTAAATTATAACAGACCGTTTAGCAATATGTGTAGTGTGTACCTATGACTGTTATAAGACCAAAGGTTTTTTTTGATATACAGGTAAATTAAACTAAGAACACCTACGAGTCACGTTCCAGAATATCAAACAATGAAAGCACCTCCGTAAGATATCAAACAAATAAAAATCAGTCTCTAAACAGATCAATTTGAGATGCAAACCCGCAGAACTAACCTTGTTGTTTTCTGTGAAAATTGGATAAAGTGGTTTAAAGTTATCAAGGTTGCCAGTAAGAAGGTCGGATCTTACTAAGTGAGGATAAATATTTGAACAGTCTTCAAGGACGAATGCAACTAAACCTCATATTTATTTTCTTCAAACGGGGAAAACAACACAAGCTGTTAAAAAACTGAACCCAAACAAAGTTTACAGTGACTGCTCTGACTTATTTATTTGTATAGTTTAACAAGTGCCTACATAAGTAAGTTTTAATATCTAATTGTATTGGGTTAACCCTATAAATATCGTTACTATATCACAACAGTGAAAACTAGATTGGATAAACAAGGCACCTGACAAATAAATTAATCGTCCCTTCACAATACCCAGTTTATTATCATAAACAATGTTTCGAAAACAGCAAAGCGAAGCTACCTATTATCCCACAAAATGGATCTGGGAGCATTGTAAATGGAACACGTTCTGTCGGCACGTGGATACTCGACACATTTAGTAAATAAATCGAAACGATGCACTGCATAAAAGGGTCATAAACGAGTTACGTAGCGAGCGTCGAGCTCCCAACTATATTTGCATACCGCACGCCTAATTCGACGCAGTTAACTATTGTACGCTGTTTACTATTTAATATTTAAACCAAAATAATGTGACGTATGCTCCAATCGCATTGTTAAATATTATTTTGTAGTGAATGAACTGTCCTTTATTAATATTTTTACTCGACATTCTAGTAGAAACGTTAGTGATTTTATGTAACAACTATACAATCTTAATAATATGGTATCTATCTGTTTCATTAAATGTAGTAAGATTACAATCAGTTTATGCCAAAGAAAATAGATAGATGGGAAGGTATGTTAATTAAGCCTATGGATTATCTAATGTCTATTCAGATTTTGTGCCTTAGTAATTCCAGAAATGTTTCCGCTTGAAATATTTTGTGTACCCTTGACCGCATTGCCACACCCGGCTGGGTTAGACGCACAATCTAGTTAAATTTATAACCCGTAGGAAACTGACGGCTGCCCCATTCTTCGTAAGACTTGCCCTACTTGTGTCAATATTTTACAACTGTGCCCATGATTTACCTACTTTGAGTTAATTAAACAGGAATATCCTATAAGCATGAGCTTTTTATTAACGTTGCATTAATTCTTTAAATGTCTATGATTACTAAATCTTTTGATAGCTAACAATGTCTTTAAATCAATCCATTTAGGTACTTTATCTTCTTTCACCGTATTAAAGTTGACAAAGTTTTTCAAGTAAGTAATGAAATAAAGGCTAGATGTTTAAAATTCAGCAGATGAGTGCTATTTAAGCTAGTGTCGCATGTCTATACTGCATTGCCCTTGAACTCTTGTACATTGGTAGGTACCTATATAGCCTACGAATATGTATGTATACTCGTACGATCACGTTGCCAACGGCTGAAGATTTTCGTACCATCCGTGCGATTCAGCGAGATTGTGCAACTTTCATTCTTGTATTTTGGAATTAAAGCCTAGGCACGTTCGGTTTTAGCTCAGCCAATTAGTTACCCACCTAGTTAATTTTGACTTTAACAATTTGCGTGTGAGCCGTGACATACCTAAGTATAATTAATGTTTTGTGGGATTCATGTGTATTGTATAAACGATACGAAATCGGTCTTACCTTATTCAATGTCTATGTACTACAATAAAAACTATTTGCATGTAGGAAATCAAAAAGATGATTATTGGCATTTCAATAAATTTCTGACACAAAATTGCCTGTAGGTATCGAGACCAATTTTTACTACGAGCCTATTTGCACAGATACGTAATTAAAGAGTTTAATACGTGTTTCTGATAAGAGTCTGGCTGGTTAAGTCGAAAAAATTGTTGCAACAGCCATTATACATTGTAAAAAAAGAAATATGTTTTTTTTTACGTTTGTGAACCATTTGTGAACTTATTTGGCCAGTATCATAAATCACAAATCTACATAAAGAAGGTTACATAATACATGGTACTTAATAGAGGTTACAAAGGTATTTTAAATGCACAAGCTCTGTAGAATTTCAGTATAAACCTTATTCGTCCAAGTTAAGCGCTGCAGTTATACTCTGAAGGCTACAACGAAATGTTAGCGCCACGTGTACCTAAGTATGCAGAGCTGACATTACCTACTACAATAATAGTAAATGTCTTTGTTTAAATTGTTTGCAGTTAGCACAAAGGCTTGTTGTTTGAAGTAGGTATTTAAAAATGTAAACAGGTGTCGTGAGGCATGACAATATGAATGCAGTTCAAGGGCGCTGCAGCGGCCGCGGCCGTGTGTGAAATGAAAGCTTGGAATCGTTTATTTGCACCTCGTCGGACTCGGACGACAGGCACGACTCAATTTAGTACGAAGTACGTACTCGACTAGTCCGCCCTACCCTTTAAAGGATCGTAGTACTGTTTATTTTTACTTTCGACTTTTTAAATTGTTGAATTAGTAGTGGATTGCCTTACTTTTAAATGTGGAATGGATTAAATTAAAAGTATCAAGAGACAAACTGATGAGTTCAGAGTTCAACAGCCTATAAATGCTCACTACTGAGCAAAGCCTCTTCTCTTACAGAAAAGGATTGAGCATTAATCACCACGCTTGCTCAATGTGGATTGGTGATTACAAACTTATAATTAGAAATTATAAGCCCAGGTTTCCTCACGATGTTTTCCTTCATCGTTTGTCAGTGGTGTCTAGATAATCTTAGAAAGTGCATATAGGTAACTCGAAAACAGTCACATTTGGTACTTGCCGTTGGTAGGTATCGAACCTCTTTTAGGTCTTAAACCTCCGGGCCACCACGACCCCACACGACCAAACGTATAAATGATTTATTTATTTGCAGCAGGATTGTAAGAATAAATATTTATTCATCTTATTATCGAAACTTTATAAGTACTACATACATCCAACATAAAGACTATCGATGATACATGATTCAATCCGTTAACACAATAAACTGCATAAGCAGGTACCTATGTAATAGACACATTATACAGCCGACCACTTATTCTTAAATTATTAGTAGAGTCATTAAATTAATGATTACGTAAATGGATACGTTGAAAATCATCCCCTATATTTTGTTCATACAAAAGTAGTCTCTTAACATTGGAAATAAGGTCTATAATGTAGTCAGTGGAGAGCGGTCACCGGTGACCGCTTGGGGATATAGGTACGGGTGCTACTGATTAACTCATACAAAATTAAATTATAATGCAAAACTT